GGGAAGAAGAAAGGATCACTGAACACTTGTAGCTAAGTAGGAAATCAATATGAGGCTCTTTCCAAAGGAGAAAGAGGCTGAACTGTCTGAGGAAAAAGTAGCTGCTTGTTCTCATATGTGCCCAAAGGTGCTATCAATGAGAGATTCCCCAATAAGAGTTAAGTAAGAAACAAGTAATGAATATTGCTATCTCTGCAGAGGTATATTAAGGCAGTTAGGTGGTGAACTGATCACGATAGAGAGATCTGCCTTCCACTACACCAGAGGTGTCCAACTCCAATAGAAATGGGGCCACTGAATTATACATAAAGATCCCTGGGCTGTATGTTGACTAAGAAAGCCACATATTAATATTACCTGTGTTCTATTATATTTTTATTTATTTTGTTAAATATTTCCCAATTACATTTTAATCTGGTTTGGGACACACTCAGAAGTGTTGCTGGCCAAACATTTAGCATGGCTAAAGATGACTAAATCTTACACAAGAAACTGAACACTTTAAAGGCAATGCTGCCAATCAGAGGTTAGGGCCTCAGAAGAGGAAGGCCTATTTGGGAAATGAGTAAATGGGAGAAGAGAGTATCTGAGAGTGAGATTTGGATTTCTGGACCATGGCTTCTATAGGAATGGCAGGCTCTTGGTCAGAGATGGGGCACCTCTAACAAGGGCTGGTAGGAATTCCTTTCTTGGAGTCAAAAGGAAATGGGAAAGAGAAAACTACCTACCAGAGATTGAAGCTACAGTGTAGGATAAAGAGTAGCTATGGAGGGGCAGCTAAGTGGTGCAGTGGAGAGAGCATCAGCCCTGAAGTCAGGAGGACCTGAGTTCAAATCTGGTCTCAGACCAAACACTTGACACTTACTAGCTGTGTGACCCTGGGCAAGTCATTTAACCCCAATTGTCTTAAAAAAAAAAAGAATAGCTATGGAGAGTAAAACCCAGAAATTCATAGCAGACCAAAAAAATCTAAGAAAGTAGGGAGCAATAAACCCCACATTTTCAGGTGTCTATACACAAATGCAGAGAGTATGAGTAAGAAGAAAAGTAAACTAGATCCTAAGGCAAATGATCTCAAAGGTATCACTGAGTCTTGGCAAGTGATAACCATTACTGGAATATGGCTATATAAAAGTAGACTTTATTCAAAACGAATGAGATAAGCAAAAGGTAGGGTTGAAGGAGTCAGTTATTTTCAGTCATGTCTGATACTCTATGACCCCATTTAAGGTTTTCTTGGTAGGGTACTGGAGTGGTTTGCCATTTCCTTCTCTAGCTCATTTTACAGATGAGGAAACTGAGACAAACAGGGTAAAGTGACTTGCCCGGGGTCAAACAGCTAGTAAGTATCTGAGGCCATATTTGGACTCAGGAAGATGAATCTTCATGACTCCAGGCCCAGCACTCTATCTACGCTAGCATCTAGTTGCACCCACTAAGCTTTTATTAATTGCTTACTATGTGCCAAGCACTGGGCGCTGGCTGGGGATATAAAGAAAGGCAAAAACATGGTGGCTGCTCTTGAGGAGCTCATAATCTAATGGGGGAGACAACATACGAATGATTATGTGCATACTATGCAAAAACACAAAGCAAATACAGGGATAAGGAGCTAGCAGATATATGGGGGGTTGGGCGAAGACTAGGAAAGATCTCCTTAAGAAGATGAGACTAAGCTGATTCATGAAAGAAGCCAAGAGGCAGAAGTGAGGGGAGAGAGAGAGCATTCCAGACATGAGAGGCAGCCAACAGCAAGGCACAGAGTAGGGGAGATGGATAGTCAAATGTGAAGAAAAGCAAAGAGGCCATTGTCACAGGTGACTGGAAGAGAGGAAAGAGTTAGAAGACTGGATAGGTAGGAAGGAGCCAAGTTACAATGGGTTTTAAATGCCAAACAGAATTGTATTTAAAGGGAACTATTCCTACAATGAAATACGAGAACCAGATGGCAGAAAAACACGATGGAGAGCATTTGGATGAAGAGCAAAGGAGGCAGAAATAGTAACAATATTGTTATCAGAGTATACTATAGAAAACCTGGTCAGAAAGAAGAAATAGATGAGCAATCTGGGAGATAGGTCACAAGCCTAGCATGGCAGCATGATGTAGCAGTTGTGACAGACTTCAATTATCCAGATATCATCGAGAGTCATCTCTCCTCAAAGCAAAGACTTCAACAGCTTCTTGACCTATCTTGACCTATAATTTGACCATTCACGAGGTAGGAGAACCAACTGGAGGAACGTTCTTCTGAATCTGATTCTCACCACCAAGAAAGAACTGGTTGCTGGTATGGGAATTATAGAAATATTATTGGAGTGGTTACCACTCCATTTCAGAATTTGTGCTAGAGAATGAGAGGACAGAAAGGCATCGTCTGAGGCACGTACTAAACTTTGAAATGACAGATTTCAACAACTCTGAAGAAAAGATGGGTGGAATCCAATGGCTTCAAATTCTGCAGGAAAAACCAGCCCTGGAGAGACAGGAAGCTCTCAAAGATGAAATTCTGCAGTCACAAAGAGAAATAATTAAACGAGAAGGAAAAAGGAATTTCCTATTGAAACTCTTTTTCATTCATAGAAATTCTAGTTTCTAATGAAACCAGACAGAAAACTCAGCAACCAATTTAGTATATACGTACATATATATACATATGTATATATACATACATATACATACATATACATATATACATACACATGCATATATGCATATATACATATACATATATACATACATATACATATATACATATACATATACATTCATATGCATATATACATACATATATACTATATATAATATACTATATATACACATATATACACATATACACACACACACACACACATATAGATAGATAGATAGATAGATAGATAGATAGATAGATAGATAGATA